CCCCCCCATCTCCTATTTATTTTGGAACTGGACTTTTAATACTCCATTCATATGAAGAAGTGAGTTGTACCCATGAAAGCTCATGGTACCATAAACATGTTTTGTTAGTCTTAAGGAGCTCCTAGACTATTCGTTTTTAAAATTTTTCCAGTTACAGACTAACTTGGCTTACCCCTCTGAAGGATTTATACAGCAACAGCTTGAGGTAGAGAGCACCTGGCTGGTATCGGGACTGGATTGTCTGTATTAGAATTGACTCTGCTTGTTGTCTCTCTTTCCTGTTTGCAGTTTGTGGATGCAGATAATCTCCTGACAAACCCAGACACTCTGGGTCTGCTGATGGCAGAAAACAAAACTGTTGTGGCACCCATGTTGGACTCTCGTGCTGCCTATTCTAACTTCTGGTGTGGAATGACCTCACAGGTAGGAGGAAGCCTGAGCTTTTGACCTGTGTTCCTTTCCCAAGCCCTATGTACAGCAGGACTTTGCCCACAGGATCCATTGCATGCATAAGCAGCTCCCTGCTGCCCCCTCTCATAAGGACTCCTGCAAGAATCTCTTTTTCTCCTTTGTAGGGTTATTACAAACGCACTCCTGCCTACATTCCCATTCGAAAACGAGAGCGCCGTGGATGCTTTGCTGTCCCCATGGTGCACTCCACTTTCCTGATTGACCTGCGGAAAGAGGCCTCCCGGGACCTTGCCTTCTACCCACCACACCCAGACTACACCTGGTCTTTTGATGACATCATTGTCTTTGCATTTTCCTGCAAGCAGGCAGGTGAGTTAATGGATATTGCTGCTCATGGGCTTCTTGCTAGCATACTCTGGGTGAGTAGCTCTGCTGTGGATTGACATATGCGAAGCCTTCAGTCATTGTTTTCTGCAGCGGGATGAGGTTGTCTGCTGTGTTGGTGAGGATTAGTCAAAAGGATGGTATTGAATGATAGTGGGGTAGTGAGAGAAAAGAAAACATTAATGTAGATTAGTGGTGGGTAACCTGTGGCCCAACAGGAAAATCTGCTAGTGGATCACAGGACAGTTTGCTTACATTGACCATCTGTGGACATGGTCTCCTGCATTTCCCACTGACCGTGTTTGCTTTTCCTGGCCAATGGGAACTGTAGGGAGTAGCAGATCATAGGGACATGCTGGGTGCTGCTTCCCGCAGATCATATTGTCCAGGAATGGCAGCCACTAGGTGATGTGGGGTGGTGCCTGCACGTGCTCAATGTAAACTGTTTTGTGGCCCATGAGAGAAGTCTGCTGGTGCAGGCTGCCTACCACTGGTTTAGATCAGGAATGGGGAATTTCAGGCCTGGGGGCCAAATGCGGCTCATGGCTTGCCTGGATCTGGCCCCAGAGGCTGGAGCACACACATTCTACTTGGCTGCCCCTCTCCCCCCAGCTCTGCTGTGTAAGGGGAATATGGAGAGTGTCTTTCTCCTAATTTAGGGGCCACATCAATGAGGAGTTGGTTGGTTGGTTGGTTGGTTTTTTTGCTTCTCATTGGTGTGCAGCCCTGGATTGATTTTTTTTCTGTGGATCAGCGTCCCCTGACCCAAAAAAGGTTCCCCACCCCTGGTTTAGATGCTCTGGAGCTGCCACCACCTTTGAAAGTAGTGTTTCTTTTAACACCAAACAAGACAAATGCATACAAATGGGGAGAGAGAGAGAGAGAGAGAGAGAAAATGTAGTCTCTGTCTCTTCTAGGCTTATGGAGGATTTTGTTTCTGGTTTTCAAACTTGCTGCTGGGAAATCTGGCAAACTTTTACTAGTGTTGGTCTATTTAAAGAATTGCTTTTAGTTGCTTCTCTGGTCACACCAATGTAATGCAAAAGTGGGTTTTGAGCAGTGATCTACTAGTATCTGCTCACTGTGTGTTTTAACTTCAGAAATCCAGATGTTTGTATGCAACAAAGAGATTTATGGCTTCTTGCCAGTGCCACTGAGAGCCCACAGCACCATGCGGGATGAGGTGGAAAGCTTCATGCACGTGCAGCTGGAGATCATGGGTAAGGGCTGAATTCTAGCAGAAGCCAGAATATGCATAAGCTTGGATGGTTTTCCTTATTCCCTCTTACTTCTGACTGTTTGAATTTGGGACCTGCCTCTGTCCTGGGGATTCAGCAACAGTTTCCCCAAACCTGCTGGCTGGACAGGAAGAAAAGATGGTGAAGAACTGTTAAAGCAGAATGTCTAGAATGGTAGTTTCTATGGAAGCTCTACCTCAAGTGATTCCACAACACCCTTGGTCATGCTTGGAGCAGCTCATGTCTGCTACAGGCAATGGGAGAGCAGCATGGTGTCTTGCCTGTTGACATTTGGGTAACTTGTTCAGCTCCTGTGGTTGCTGTCTGCCTACTTAAAAACAGAGAGTGTTTCTTTCTGACTTCACTCTGTAGCTTTTTCCATTAACCTCTGAGGCCTCTCGTCTCCTGTCATTGCAGCTTGCCACATAGGCGCCTATTTCAATTTCTCCCCCCCTACCCGCCCTCCTTGGCCTCTGGTGTCTGCAGGATCTGTATGGCAGTGCTCAGTGCTTTCTTTGTAATGGTACTGCCCGGTATTCAGTACCGGCACCTCCAGACGCAGTACCAACACCTTCAGAGTTCAACAACTTTCCCTTGGAGTAACCAGATTTTTTTTTTTTAACAAAAGAAGCACTGGCAGTGCTCACCTACACAGTTGTGTGTGAAGTGCTCTGAACTGTGCTGTTTACAGTAATAGGAAGAGTGCTGGACTCCATACTTTCTCCCCTGGGTACATTCCTAGGTAGACTCACAGTATCTCTTTGTATCAGTCTTGGCTGCACAAAGATTCTTTTACTAAAGGGAAAAGTCACATACTTCACTATCAGCACATGGGGGCTGATTCCTGGCCATTTTAATATTATACCTTTGAGTAATGCAAGAGGGGTTGCCCAGGTCACAAGATAACTGTTTTTTAAAATAGCTTTTACAAATCTGAGAATTTGGTGCCAAAGGTTTATTTCTCTGGTTCCCCTCCCGCTTGGCTGCACACAGCTATCTTCAGCTGCACAAATTGGTATTCTCCTTACCTTTAGAGACAGAATATTTCTGTAAAGACAGCAGTTTCCTATTCAAATCTGCCTGCAAACATTCTGTAATTGCCTGAATGCTTTTAACTCACTCTTTAACTTTTCCTTTTGGGGAACCTCTTCCTACAAGATGAAAAGCCTAAAGAAAATAATAAATAAGACAGTGGAGCATGTCAGTCAACAGGACTGATAAGCATAAGCATCCATGCTGGGCGCTGGTGGAAGACTAGTAGCAAGAAGGGATGTAGGAGATCAGTTGTGGAATAGAAAATTAGAGGATCCTTTTGTTTCTCAAGTCCCAGTAGATTGTTGGTAACTGGCTACTTTGTGGTAATTTTGTTTGGAGGTCTGTTCCCAGTGCACTAGCTGTGCCCCCATTTGGAGTAATGTGCACTAGGAGAGGTTCTTTCTGCTTTGAGTCTGGACAACAATATCTTACAGAAACCCATTTACATTCATCATCTTGGTTTTCCCTTAGTGAAGAACTCCCCAGTAGAATCTTCACAATACCTGTCCATCCTGCCCAAGATCCCTGACAAGATGGGCTTTGATGAGGTGAGTCAGAACTCTGCTCCATGCGGGCATGTTACTGAGATGAGATGTCGTTTAGTTTGCACAAGCTGAGCTTGCAGACTCTAATGCCTGAGCTGCAGTGCTGAAGGGTATCTCTTCCCTTGTATTCAGTGCAGGATGCACCAAGGTTGCAGTTGAATTCTTGCCTGCCAGGGTTTGGTAGAAACATTCCTGCAGATTCATTGCCATGGGTTTTATTTCCTCAGGTTTTCATGATTAACTTAAAGCGCAGGGCTGATCGACGAGAGAGAATGCTGCGGACGCTGAATGAGCAGCAGATTGACTGCAAAATCATTGAGGCTGTAGATGGAAAGTGAGTGCACCCAGATAACACACATGTCCAGTCCAACACCTGATAATAAGGATCTAGGATATGCCAGTGGGGATTCTTGGAGGCGGACTTATTGAGGAGGCGCTAATGCTGTCTCTCGGAAATGAGGGGGAAGCAGAGCTTGGTGAAGAGGAGGAGGAGCTAGATGCTGTGGGTGTCAGTGTTTCCTAGTCACTTAATGCAAAGTCCTCTAACGTATGAAGGCCCTTGTGGATGGTATGGCTTTGCCTCCCTTTATCCCACCCTGTGAATGGACAAAGAGGCTGTTGAGTAAATAACCTATATAGTTCATCTAGTAATATCTTCTGTGCCTATGCACACAAGCCACATCAGGGTGAGGAAACAAGATAATAATTGTGTAGTGCCCTGAGCTGGTACCAGAACAGCTGTTGTAATGACCTGCATGTCTCTATTCTTTGTAAACTGGCTATGAGAATGAGCATCTTCTGTTTCCCATCATCAGTTCTGCAAAGAGAGAGGCCTACAATAAAGTGGCCTGGAGATGATTCCTTGAGGAGGGAAGCTGCATTTGTGAGCATTAGCAGAGCAAAGCCAGGTGCTGCTTCATGCTGACAAGGAGGCATTAGCTGCACTGTGTTTGTCTGCAGAGCCATGAACAGCAGTCAGGTGGAAGCCATGGGGATTCAGATGCTGCCAGGATATAAGGACCCATATCATGGCCGTCCACTTACCAAAGGGGAGCTGGGCTGCTTCCTTAGTCACTACAAGATCTGGAAGGAGGTAAGGCTATACTCTCAGGAGAGTTCCTAGGATCTTGGTGCCTCTGACCCCTTCAGGGCACTTCTTTTCTTTGGATGCAATAGCCAGGCCAGGAACTTTTGGATTTCTGTTCCAGCTATGATACTCCCATTGCCAGAATTCCCGCTGCTCAGCAGGGTTTTCTGTAGTATGAAGGATAAGTAGAGACATAGAGTCGTGGGGGCAGGAGGTGGGGATGGCTGATGCTTAGGGCCATCCAAGGACTCTAATCATCCCTGCAGGGAGCAGGAACTCATTTGCTGATACTGTTATTTCAGCTGGGTGAGAGAAGTTTAGAGGTAGTGCCTTGTGCTGGCGTTTGGGTTACTGTGTGAGCCACAGTAGGGATATTTGTACTCTACATGTTGAGAAAAGTCTTGCAGTTCTCATTCATTGTTATGGATAAGATTATATCATGGAGTAAAGGTGATGGGACGGTGTGTGTGTGATCCCTTGTGCCCCCTTCTGCCCCCCACACAATACCGTGGACGGGAAGGGCTGGCCAGCAGCTGGATGGAGGAATAATGCAGAGGGAAGAGGAGACTAGCACCTGCAGCATAGGTCTAGCTCCATACACTCACCAGCAGTAGTGGGGGAAGTGGAGCAAGGCAAACCAGCTCGCTCTGCTCTTCCGGTGCACCACTCCAGGAGATGGGGCAGGACGCCCTTGCATCCACCAGCAGGAAGTGGAGTGATGCAGCTGGAGCTGCATTGCTCTGCTTCCTCCCACCACTGCCAGTGAGTGCAGGGAGAGGGAGCAAACCCCTGTTGCAGGTTTCAGATCTCCATCCGTCCTAGTCTCCTGAGTAGTCTCTATTGGGGAAAAGGTATGGAAAGGGAATGGGGCAGGGGGCAGAGTAGGGGTGGAGAGTTGAGGCCTGGAGTGGAGGGTTTTTTTCAGCCCTTCCTTAGACCAGAGGGAGTAGTTACATGGCTGGGGGTCTCTGAGCTTCCCCTCACCAGTTGTTTCTGTCATGGAGGTCTCAGTTTCCATGACTTTCAGAGACCTCCATGATGTTTTCCTCTTCAGCCACAGTGGAGAGGCCCACAGTTCTCAGCCTATACAGGTGGCAGGGGATGCTGCATCAGAGCTCGGGTGCTCTCCCTCCCCAGCTTGGGCTTCAGTTGTCCCTCCCCTGCAAGCAGGCCTCCCCCCATTATTTTTAGCAAAAGCTGCAAACAGGCAATAGACTTCCATGAATTTGTTAATTGTCCACAACCTGTCCATGACTTACTAAAAATAACAAAAAATCTGAATCTTACTCATGAATGATGGCTAGGTATGCCTAGAGGTGGTAAAAGAGAATATATTTGAAGAGGTTGGGAGGCAAGAGAGAGCTAATTCCTCAGCACTAGAAGTCAATAGATACCTGTGCTGTAAAAGGAGGTGATAAATTACATGTCATGGGGAGTGGGGTGAAGGAGAACAGGAGTTTATGGTTCTCTGATTTGGCTGTGGCAATTCTGTTCTGCCAAATTGCTAGATTGTGGAGCGAGGATTGGAGAAATCAATTGTGTTTGAGGATGACCTGCGGTTTGAAATATTCTTTAAACGACGGCTCATGAATCTGATGTATGACCTGGAAGAAGAAGGTCTGGATTGGGACCTGATGTAAGTGCAGAAGATTAAAATACTATATAGATGTTCTACAAGGCATCCCTGAGCTCTTTATGTTGTACAATACATAAATCCTGCCCCGAAGAGCTTGCAATCCAAAAGAGAGAAGAGTAAAGGGGGACCCTAACCCTGGGAATTCCACAGTGGGAGGGAATATGCCCTTTTGATTATTATTAACTTGCCTAATGTAAGCATTAGGAAGAAATGACTTTGGAAAGAGCATTGACTAAAGAAAGGTTGAAACAGTGATAGCTGGGAATAGAGATCACTGATTTCCCTATTACAACTCTCAGGCTCAGCCTGGGTGCTGCTGAGAATGCTGAGCTGTGCTCTGTTCAGATCATAGGCGCACCCGCTGATTACTACATAAGATTTCCTGTGCCACAAACACAGCATCAGCAAGGATCACATGCCATGTTAACCAGGAAGTGGCTTTATTTTTATGCTGGAAGTGGCTTCCCTGTGCTACAAGGGCATTTGCCACTTCTGCTCTCCACCTGTGGTCACTGATTCCATGCATGAGGAGTTGATAGATATTTTTAAGGCCAGCAGGGACTCTGACGATCATCTAATCTGACTTCCAGCAAAACAGTCAAGGGGAATTCCACCCATCTTTTCCTGCATGAGGCTCTATCTCCTGCTTTAGCTAGAGCATAACTTTTCAAAAGACTCATCCTTGTGCTGCTGTCTATCTTCCCCCAGTTACATTGGAAGGAAACGAATGCAGGTGGAGCATCCAGAGAAGTCTGTGCCTCATGTGCGGAATCTGGTGGAGGCAGATTATTCCTACTGGACTCTAGCCTATGTGATTTCACTACAGGGTGCCCAGAAGCTGCTGGCAGCTGAGCCACTCTCCAAGATGTTGCCTGTGGATGAATTCCTTCCGGTCATGTTTGATAAACACCCTGTGTGAGTCTGCAGTGCATCCTGGGGCCTAGTGCTGGGGGAAGAAGCGTGTATCAACCTATAGGATGGGCAGTGTGTGAAGGGGCTCCTGGAGCACCATATTCTGAATTGAGAAGCCTGTTGAAAACAGAACTTTGAACAAACACACTCTTTGCTGCTGTTTCAGCATTAGTTGTAGATCGCGCTTACCAGAGAAAACCCCCTGTGTTCTGAACTAGGGATGTTAAAATGCATATAATTATAATCATGTAACTGCTGAAATTTTCAGCAGTTACATGCTGGGAAGGGCAGGTGGGATCCAGTCTGTGCAGGGAACTGTCTTAAAACCAGCTTCCCACATGCACTGGCTCCCACCTCCGCTACTCCTGCATGTAACCATGCACATGAACCAATGAGCCCAGGCTCATGAGTTAACTGTGTAAATGGTTAAATTTTCACATCCCTATTCTGGACTTGACAATGAAGCCGTGCATATCCCAGTAGTAGCGTATGGAGTGCACTTGAGAATACAGCATTTATCCTGTTTGTTCCTGGAAGCAGCATGAGAACTTGTTGCAGGAAGTTTGTAACTAGAACTGGTTTCAAAATAGTTATTGTTCCCATGAAAAATTAGAATGATAACTAGTATTTTTCTTGATATTTTTCTTAAAGTTCTTTGGGTATTTTTGAACTATCGGAACTCCTTGTCTTCGTCACGATCGTTTTTTTGATGAATACCTGAGAAACTTGTGTAAAAAGAAGACACTTCCTGCAGTGTTTTATATATTTGACAAAAAATCCATTTGTTTAAATGCCAGAAACTTTGGTTGGCTCTAGGATGGGCTATTGGAGTTCCTGAGACTGCTTGAATGGATCTCTCACTCACTCATAGGCAGTAAGGACTCAAGTGTGCTGAAGCCTATTGTTAGTTGGCTGGCTTGATCACCTTACTGTGATTTCTGGGGCACCTGGCACTGGCTCCTGTCTCAGAAGATAGATTACAGGGCTAGATGGATCTTTAGTCTAATCCAGTATGACTGTTCTTGTATGAAGGGACTGATGATCAAGTGGGCCACCCAGCCCTGTCAGTGAGAGCTGACTTCACACCTTAAGAGCGTCTTGCTCAATGCTGCCTCGTCCAAGCAGTGTGTTTCCCTGACTGCCCTAGGCTTGTTCCCACATGGCAGAGTCTGTGTTCTGCAGCCTGACTATGCCCCAGGAGGCTGGAGCTACTTAGAGGTTTGCAGAGGGCTCTAAAATACTTATTTAGTAGGAATTGTAAGATCTGCACAAAAGTTCTTGAAAGATGAATGTCCCTTTCTTTGGAGAGGGCTGGAGGGATTGTGGGGGAGAAGTTTCAGTAAGCTGGTATGTGGTTTGAATGCTACAGTGAGCGGTAGGAGGATGAGGGGTATCTGGAGCAAAACAGGGTACTTAGAGGGATTAATGCACTGTGGTGGGAGGCTGAAGATGAATTGTAGGGTAAGCATAGCAGACATGACCATCCCCCCCCCCCTTTTTTTTTT